GCGTTCAACGAAGGCTTGAGGTCCGCGTTTTGGCTGTAAAACGCGCCATTGAGGGCCGCGTTCAGTCTGGTTCTCGCGAAGCTCATGTTTGGGCTCATAAACGCGAAGTTCAGGGTCGCGTTTAGGCTCACGAACGCGAAGTTCGCGTTGGTTGGAGGATCGATTTTCTCGAACTTGTGCTCGTCGCTGAGACCTTCTTCTTCGACAAGCAGCGTTCTTCTTGGCTTGTTTTAAGGCTTTAGCAGCAACGTCGTTGACGTTTATGGAGCTCGTCTCCTTTATAGGCCGTTTAAGGCCTGTGGCACGTCGTGTTGACGCGGAGGTGGGATATTCAACTCGCTGTGCGAGTTCAGCAGAGGCCGAGCCCGCTCCTGGAGCGGAGGGGCTGTTCGACGAATTTTGGCCAAAGGAGAGGACTTTCTTTGGCGTTCCAGCAACAGTTGGAGATTTAGTCTCCTTGGAAACTTTGTGGATCTTGCGCATAGCCTTGGGGCTAAGGGATCCAGAGGAGATAGCCTCTTCGAACTTGGCTTGATCGAACTCTACCACGAGAGTTTCGACGGTTGTTCCAGTAAGATGAACATCGGATTGCACCACCACTTCTTCGTCACAGAAGCTCATCCCCAGCAGAGTCGCCATCTTTTGTTTGTAGAAAAAAATTGTAAAGAAGAGAATAAAGAAAATTGACTTGTATTTCTTTGATTCCGATTACAACTTGATTACAAAAGAGAGGAGAACGAAATCGGTTTTCTTTGATTCAGCATGACGGCTCGCGTTTGTTGGCCGATTGCCTGGTGGAGTTACGCGATGCATGTGATTTAGAAAGTCGTCTGATTGCTGACTTTCATTGCTTGGAGCTTGTTTGAATAAGCTATCTATTGTGATTTTTTGACAGCCTACAGACCCCCTCCAAAGTTTTCGAAAGTTCTCGCGGTTGACTGGGGACGATTTTTTCGGAAAATACTTTGGATCTCAAAAACTTTGCGGATTGTTGCTTCTTCCGTCTTCGATTCGAGCCAAATGATTTCGCGTTGTTGATTGTAATCTATCTTATACCCCTCGATTGATCCCCAGCCAGAGTTCGCCATCTTTTGTATGTAGGGTAAAATTACAAATGCAAGCTAATAAAGGAAAAATTGTGATTCTTGATTCCTTGTCTATCTCGGTACAACTTGACCCTTACAAACAGAGAGCGAAAACGGAATTTGGTTTTCCCCTTTGTTTAATTCTGGGTTCTTCACGGTGGTGATGAAGTGCCTCCCTCGAATGCTTGCGTCGAGTTTGCTCTCCGTTGACGATCCGCACGTCTTGATTCACTGGAACGATGTCTTCTCCTCACGATTTGACGTTGTGGAGAACTTGCGTGGCAAGTTTGAGAACTCTGAACGAGTTTAGAAGAACTCTGTAAAAGAGTTGATTTGAACCGAAGATCGGTTAATAAGCCAAGGACAGAGGCTCCCTGTTGCTGAAGTTGAAGATGATCTTCGTTGGAAGATGATGACGATCTCCTCCCAAAGCATGTCTCCAGTGGTCGATCCAAGCCCAGAAAATCCAACCGAAAAAGGAGCGCTTGAACTGAATTGATCTTCAGTTATTTATAGAGGATTAAGGGGGTGAAACCGCCCCTTAAATCTCTCCTAAGTAGGGTGTAACCGCCCTTAAATCGTGGGAAACGGTTTTAGAACCGTTCAACTCATGTTGAATGAGTCAAACGCCAACGTTGGCGTTCAGGACCCTAACCTCGCGTCTTTGAATTGAGACGCGAGGTTGGGTGTTGGCTGAACATCATTGAACGCGAGGGTCGCTCACGTTTGGCTTGTGCATTGTCGACGCGGGGGTCGCTGTTGGTTGAACACCATTGAACGCGAGGGTCGCTCACGTTTGGCTTGTGCATTGTCGACGCGAGGGTCGCTGTTGGTTGAACACCATTGAACGTGAGGGTCGCTCACGTTTGGCTTGACGACGCGAGGGTCGCTGTGGCTTGGCGACGCGAGGGTCGCCGTGGCTTGGCGACGCGAGGGTCGCCGTGGCTTGGCGACGCGAGTGTCGCTCACATTTCCAAAGTGGTGACGCGGGGATGACATCCGCGTCTCAGAATGAGCTATTTGACTTGTAGCTTCTTCTGTGGTGCATTGCAAGGACCGTTGTTCAGTAATCCTGGCTTTAACTGTTGTGGAGTGTGAAAGTCGTCAGATTGTAACTTTCACTGTAGATTGTGAAGACTGCTGAATAGAGTTTTCATCCGTCGTCGTGAAGGTCGTCAGATTACAGCCTTCTGGAAGTCGTCAGATTGTAACTTCCATCATCGGTGGTTGATGGGGGATAAGCTATCTATTGTGATTTTTAGACAGCCTACAATGATGTTTTAACAAATAATTTACAACTAATATTGTTTATCTAGTGTTTGCGTTTTCGTATTTATTCTAGACAAACAATGTGTGGGAGGTTAGATGGAATTGCGCTATAACGATCATATCCAATGGAGGTTGGCGGAAATATCGATATGAAGCCATTGCATATCAAGTCAAATACGAGATCAAGCTTTATCCGCAAGTTTACCAAGAAGAGCTTCATCGAAGATCAAGAGCTTGGGTATAGTTTTTATACTTAGGTTTTATACTTGTGTGTGTAGATACTTTTAAGCTCAATATCATACACACACACATTTTGTTGGTTTATATACACACACACACACACACACACACACACACACACACACACACACACTAGTATAGTGCACCACGTGGACATATTTGTTTTATGTTCTAATACTTTACATAATTCATTATTTAATTAATGGAAGAGTTTCATATTGAATGTAATTATAACAACATTTGAGGACTTATTTATAATTTTCATACAATTTAGATCATATACTTCTTTCAATCTTCTTAAGATTTAAGTTTTGAACTATATAGGGGTTTATTTGTAAAAAAAAATATAAAGTTTTGGTATTTTTCTATAAATATATGAAATTTCAATGGTCTTTGTAAAAATTATGAAGATCCATAGTTATTTGTGAAAAAATTCAGGGTTATTTTGTGAACATTGGCAAATCATGTAATACTCAAAAGACATAATTTTTTTAATCTTAAAAGACATGGTACTATTTACTTTATAATTTAAAATAATGAATGATATTTAATAACTACTGATAGTTTTATGTGCAAATTTAGAATATAGTTTTAACATTAGGGAGGTAATAATATACTTATTATATAAAAAAATTTACCCAAAAGACAAAAATTCTAAGTTTGTTCTTTACTTTTATGTTAAGTGTGTCATACTATTCCATAATTATCTTTATTTTTGCTAATCCATTATAACAAAATAAAATTATCACTTTCACCTTCTCTCTCTTCTATTATCATATAATTAGTAACGTGCTACAAAAAATATATTTACTAAGTTCATGGATAATACAATATTTCTCTCAAATCATAATTAAGTACATAGTAATAATTATAGAAATAGGAAAAAAAAATCATCATTAACCCCCCCCCCCCCCCCCCCCAAAAAAAAAAGACCTCAAACTTTAGTCTCAATCCAAATTCTCCACATTTCCTTGTATCAATCGTATCCTTAATCCGTATATAGCCGTCAGTCTAACAATCACATCAGTATAAAGTATAATCCAAGTAAAGCTCAGTACTTCCTCAGCATAACTTCAATCGTCTTCACCCCCTTGTCGTTATCTCTTCTGAAGGGATAATGTTTTCACTGACGAGCTTGTATCATCCAAATAATATCATAGTAAAGCCATAGGGTGAGTATAGGATGCTGTTAGGGTTGTAAGAGGTGAGTGTAAATCTAAATCATCAAATGAGTGAATTTATATAGGTTGCAAGTAAGAGCTATTATGATAAATAAAAAAAAACAGGCTCTTTGGATTCCGTAACAGTCAAATGTAATTGTCACTTAAATAAAAACTACAATTGAAAATGTAACTCTCATTTCAAGTATGCATGAATGCATGAACTAATGGCATTTTAAGTTGACAATTTGTTTGCAAATTGAAACGTATATTATTAGTTTGTCATATGTGCGTTTTAAGTGGAGGGGTTACAAAAAATAGAAGTTAATATTAGTGGATAATTAATAGGAGAGTTATGTCATTATTAAGAATATATGCATGTAAGCATTTTACGTTGACACTTTATTTGCAAATTGAAACGTATATTATTAGTTTGTCATATGTGTGTGCTTTCAATTCTCAGCTATTATGTCAAATACAACTTACAATCTTAAAAAAAATTTATGATAACATTAATATTGGATTAGTGGAGGGGTTACAATTTACAAAAAATAGAAGTTAATATTAGTGGACAATTAATAGGAGAGTTATGTCATTATTAAGAATGTATGCATGTATATGTATGTGTTTATATGTATGCAATTTTTTTTATGATAACATTAATATTGGATTAGTGGAGGGGTTACAAAAAATAAAAGTTAATATTAGTGGACAGATAACATTAATATTGGATTAGTGGAGGGGTTACAAAAAATAAAAGTTAATATTAGTGGACAATTAATAAGAGAGTTATGCCCTTATTAAGAACGTATGCATGTATATGTATGTGTTTATATGTATGCAAGTATGTGTTTTATGGATGCATGTATGTGGTTTGAAGGGTATTTTTAGAAGAATTATTTTAACATACCAACACACTTTTATAATAGTACTAGTATGGTGCACGTGCGTTGCACGTGTAAATACTTTCATGTTTATATGTAGCCCTATAGTTTTTATTGCATTGATTAATTTTTTTTCTACTTGACATATACATGAAAGATGTCATAGATAATATATATATTATTTATGATATAAATAGATGTTATAGGGTTATAAATAGCATAATAAAAAACACTAATTTGGCATATAAAAAACCAGTATATTGATCAAAAAGAACCGAAATTATTTAATTATATGTTCACTTAATGTAGCATAATCATATCTTATTTAAGTTTGATATAAATAGACAGAAAGGAGCTCAATTTTAGCAGGATTCATCAACTTCAAAAGATGCATCTTTGTCAAACTGTAGAGAGCCATGGGGAATTGGGCTGCAGCAAGGCAATTTGGTTTGATCTATAATAGGTAGAGTCCATGACCTGTAAACAGAACTGAATCGAGCATGATCAGGCATCATAAACTTATGGAAGATCAAACCTAACTATAAATGTTACATAAATGGGGAAATTACCTTTGAGATCAAAGATAGTCTGTTGCATTGTAAATAGTTAACAACTTTAATACACATCTTCGCTGCATATTAGAATATTGTGTTAGATAATAATTGTTTGAAAGTTAATTTGTACAAAATGTGCATCATAGAATGAAAAAATAATGAGTCATGATTTTGATGAGGTGATTTACCTTTGAGGCAATAATACTTCTGGATACACAATATTTTTCGCGTATGTTTTTGTTGTTCTTCTTGTTTGGTCAACTTTCACTAATACCTTAGTTGTTCTCATTGATATCCCCCTTGATAATGCAACATATAATTGACCATGTGAGAATACATGGTGTGGCAAATAAACTCCAACATAAGGTATTGTTTGTCCCTGCGCTTTGTTTATTGTCATTGCAAAACATAGTCGGATTGGAAATTGTTTTCTACGAAATTGGAATGGATAACCCTCATTTTCAGCTGGAGATAATGGTATTCTCGAAATCATGACATTTTGACTAGAATGTTGACCAATTATGATTTCAACATGGATAACATTATATTCATATCCTCTACAGATCATTCGTGTGCCATTGCACATTCCATTAGATGGATCAAGATTACGTAACAGCATGATCGGACAATTTCTTTTAAGAATCAATTTGTGAGGCAGGAGTCCATTCGGCATTAAGGTATTCAAGAACTCTTCTTGGTAATAATTATTTGTGTCATCTACTGCTTCATCAAAGCTAAAGAATGTTTTAGCTTCTCCAGGAAATAATGCGATTAATTTTTCATTAAGTCCATCAACATACTCATTCCTTGTTGAAAGAATAGCACGTTGTGTCATGTATTCAGCAGATGACGAATTTGATTGTAATGATGGAAAGATAGCATCAATCAAATTTTTTTCAGAGTTTTCATCATTGTCATATTCTACTACCATTTCATGTGGAAGAAGTATCAAATTCTCATCTATTGTGGGTTCCTCTCCATTCCCAACGCGCAATAAGAACTCTCCAAATACTTGATCAGTTCTTGCTCTCATATTAATAGTGAGAGATAATTTCTCCATTTTTTTCCCAGAGATATGATTTCACAAGACTTGCATTGATTGTTTCTGCTCTAGTGCCCCGTGGAACAACTGGTAGAACTTGACGAAAATCACCTCCAAACACGACTACTTTTCCACCAAAAAATCTTTTGTCACCCATTACATCCCTCAATGTTCTGTCAACCGTCTCAATCGCAAATCTTTTTGCCATAGGTGCTTCATCCCATATTATAAGTGATGCCAATCGTATCAATTTTGATGTTCCATCCTGCTTTGATATATTGCACATTGTAGTTTCATTAGCAGTAATTGGAATTTTGAAGCGCGAATGTGCAGTTCGCCCTCCTGGCATTATTGCTGCAGCCACTCCTGATGTCGCTGTTGCTAATGCTATCATCTTTCTTGATCTTAGATTTGCAAGCAATGCACGATAAAGAAAAGTTTTACCTGTTCCTCCCGGACCATCCACAAAAAATATTCCAGATTTTTTTTTGTTGACTCTATCTAATATGATATCGAAGGCTTGTTTTTGCCTTGGGTTTAACTTTGATTGAGCATGAAAATCTTCAAATGGAATGTCTATCTCCCTTTCATCAATAATTTCTCTCGGTAAAGTTTGACATTGGTCAACATCATCATGTATCAGTAATGGTAGATCATAATCTGCAATATGTTTACCCATACTCTCAAGGAATAGACTAATGCTTTTTAATGTCCATGCAACACGAGCTGGTAGCATGTATTCATCTACTCCTCCCTTGAAATCTTCTGCCATCGCTTCAAAATGATCGTTCCATAATTTTCTTACATTTGATGGTTGGCAATAAACTAAAATAATGGCAAATAATCTCCGTAGTGCATAAGGCATTTGGAAGGTAGTGGCCTCAACTAAACAATCAGAAATACTATCATCAGCTTCTAGTAATCCTCTTTTTTGTGCAGCTTCCTTGAAGGACTTATATGCAATACCATCAACTGTTAAAAGATATTCCCATGAAGTAGGGCCCCTCACATGATTTAACAATAGACGTAAATAATATCTCTCTCCTTCTTTTGGGTTTGCAGCGTTTATACGACCAATGACAAGTTTGTGCTTTCGATCAGACCAAATCTTTGCTTGGTTACTCCACACGTAGTGTTCAGGAAATTCGACGTATAGAAATTTCCTTGCATTTTCAGTTGTTGTGCATTTTGTGAAGAATTCAGTGAGCATAGTTTTTGATGATCTTTCTGAACCTATTACATCACGAAGATCTCGATGTTGCCAATAACAAATTGATTGCTTATCTGGAAGATGTAATTGAAGACTAATGACTGGAGGAGTAGTTTCATTCATCTTGAATTCATACATTCTCCAAAATGCTTCTTGCGCTGACACCCACCGTCCATCTTGGAAATGTTTTATTTCATCAATATAGAAACTTGGTACCAAGTTTCTCCAAGCAACTTGGTAATGATGTGGCATAATCTTGTCCCTACATCTACATTGGAGTTGGTGAAGGGTGGTTGAGGTTCTATCTTCGAGGTGTGATGTAGGGATAAGATTAGGCCACATCACTACCAAGTTTCTTGTAGCAACTTGGTACCTATAGAAACTTGGTACCAAGTTTCTCCAAGCAACTTGGTAATGATGTGGCATAATCTTGTCCCTACATCTACATTGGAGTTGGTGAAGGGTGGTTGAGGTTCTATCTTCGAGGTGTGATGTAGGGATAAGATTAGGCCACATCACTACCAAGTTTCTTGTAGCAACTTGGTACCAAGGTTCTCCATTTTTCTCACACACACACACACACACACACACACACACTTTGGTTTTATGGTTTTCTAGTTTTCTAGTTTAAATATGAAATAAATGAATATAATTAGAAAATACATTTTTGTTTCATGTTTATATGTGTTTGGTATGAATTCATGTTCATTGGTTTTGAAAGAATGAATAAAATATATAATTTTGAGAAAATATTGTATTTCTTATTTATAGACTTAACAACAACAATTTATATTTTATGTCAAGTCTATAAAATCATTTTATAAAGTTTCAAAAGTTTGTTTAAGTCAAAATGACAAAAATATGTGTTTTGTATTTTCATGTTTTGGACTAGTTTTGAAAAATGATAAGATTTTACAATTGGAAAGTGCAATTCCAAAAATTCTTTTTGTAACATGTTTATAAATATTTTCCAAAGTTTTACATTTTTCTGAATTTATTTCTTATTTTTAAAAGCAGCTTAAAAATTAGTTTTACTATTCAAAACAGGCTGATATTATGTTATCAATCGACCGATGCAAGGGATCAGTTGTTAGGAATCTTGACCCCAAGATTAGTTTGTTTTGATGATAACAAATATTATATGTTGTGTGTATTATGTGCTAACATTTGTTTTGCAGTATCAGAGCTATATCAATAATTATATTCAAAGAGATACTCAAGACATAGATGAGTTCAAGGCAAAATGAAGCAAAGAAGAAGATATACTTTATTGTCAAAATGTAATTTTATATTTTCTTTGCTTAGAAATTTGTACAAGCCTTGATCACTCACACACATGCACACACATAGTGTTAGAACACACTAACACATGCTTAGTGTGTTGGTTAACAATAGAAATCCCCTATGTTAGCCATTAGAGTTTATAGATATTGAGTGGGTCTTAAAATATTTTATTTATATCCCATAACAATTATAATCTGGAAAAACTTAAAAGATAAAAGTTGTAGGTATCTTCAAGAGCTTTCCAACGAATCTTAAATCACCTCATTCCGATATCGGATGAGAAAGTTACAGTCAAAATACTAAACAAAAAAATTCTAGAATCTGAGTTTACAGTGTAGTCGACTACTATGCCTTGTAGTCGACTACTGAGCAATTTTTTGACTTCACAGAGTCTGTTTAAACTCAGTGTAGTCGACTACTATGACTTGTAGTCGACTACAGATGCAGTTTTTTCAGATTTCAGGTTTTAAATAAGTGACTGTTTATAGCCGTTTTGTGGACGTTAATTGGGTTTAAAATTATGTCATTTCAGAGGCTATAAATAGGTTTAAACATCAGAAAACAAGCACTAAGTTTTGCACTTGCAAGATCAAACATTTTGTGCATATTCACTCTCTAATTTTCCAGATTTTCATGCTAATTTTTTGGAAAAAGAGAGTTTCTGATATTGCCTTGGTTTCAATCATTCTTAGAGATTGTATAGGCAATATTCAGAGAGTTAAAAGAATCCTAAGCCACTGCAGCACTTCACTACACATTCAAGGCTTATAGGATCAATTGTGTTCTTGCTTCAAAAAGGATTTCTCTCGGGTTTGAGAGGGTTGATCTCTTGGTTTAGAGATTGGGTGGCAATTGGCATGGTCTTGTCAATTGGTGTTGCAATTTGCATGGTCTTGCAAATTGGTCAGGTCTGCTTTTGATTTTGTAAGTTTTCAAAATCATAGTGGAAATCTCAAGCGGGATTTACTTGGGGACTGGATGTACACCGGGAAGGTGGAACCAGTATATATGCTTGTGTTTGTGATGTTTATTTTCTGAGATTGCCATTCTTTCTTTGTAATTTATAATATACTTTGCAAACTCACCCTCTAGTGTTTAAGTGTAAAGCTTCTGCAGATTTTTATAAGAGCGCACTCTATTCTTAAGGGTCGCGATCCTACACTTGGTATACATAAGCAAAATCAGGACCCTACATTTGGTATCAGAGCAAGGTGAAAGATGGCATCAACAAATACATCACAATTCAAAGAGGGATATTCCACACAGCGACCACCTCTATTCGATGGCACGAACTACAACTATTGGAAGTGTCGGATGAAGATTTACCTCCAATCTCTTGGTACGACCTTTGGAACTTTGTAGAGACCGCATTCACAAAGCCAACCACTCCATATACCGAATGGTCAGTTGTTCAAAGGACTAAAGTGAATTTGGTTTCAAAAGCAATGAATGCTCTATTTTGTGCTTTGGACAAGAACGAGTTCAATCGCGTGTCTACTTGCAATTCAGCCCATCAAATTTGGCATACATTAGAGGTAGCACATGAAGGTATAAATAAAGTTAAAGAATCTAAAATATCTGTTCTTGTGCACAGGTTTGAGTTATTCAAAATGAAAGAACAAAAAAAGGAATCCGCTCACATGTGCTTCATGGCACAAGAAGATGAGGTATGCAATAATGAAGAATTATTAGATGCTTTCAATGAATTATATGAAACATTTTTGAGATTAAAGGCTTCACATAATTTTCTTAAAGGTGAAAATAAAAGATTACTTGAAGAAATTTCTGATTTTAATTCTTCTACTATTTCTAATTCTCAAGTAATTGAATTGAAAGAGGAAAATAAATCCTTGCTTAAAGAAAATCATATTTTGACTAATGAGAATGTTTATCTAAAATCAGAATGCAATGATTTAAAAATCCGCATTAATGTTTTAGATAAAGATATTTCTTCTATTAAATTAAAATATGATGATATATGTTTGAATGTTAGTAAATTCAATAAAAGTAAAGAGAATTTGAATAATTTGCTCTCATTTCAAAAATCTTCAAACAATCATTTTGGCATTGGATTTGTTCCTAAGTATTTTATAAAGAATGATTATGTTTTGAAGAATAATAATAAGAATATTCATGCTAAACAAAATAAGTATATATGGATTCCTAAGAATTTGAATATTCATGATAGGAATTATTATATTTCATCTTATATTTATGAAGTTTGCAATTCAAAGAATTACACTTATGTTAACAAATGGAAACCAAATTCCAAGTGGATTTGGATTCCTAAGGGCTAATCCTAATGATATAATATAAAAGGGTACCAAAGTGCTTGATATTTTTATTAAGGTACCCAAGAAAAGAAATTTTTAATTAGAATTATGTTTATTTCTTTTTGCTAATGACAAAGGGGGAGTTATATAGAAAATTTTAATTTTAAATTTTTTACTAATGCTTTGATGCAGGGGGAGTAAAAGATTTTATTTAATGATTTCATGCAGGGGGATTAAAATTTTTATATCTTAATAACATATATTTGTCATCATCAAAAAGGGGGAGAATGTTAGGAATCTTGACCCCAAGATTAGTTTGTTTTGATGATAACAAATATTATATGTTGTGTGTATTATGTGCTAACATTTGTTTTGCAGTATCAGAGCTATATCAACAATTATATTCAAAGAGATACTCAAGACATAGATGAGTTCAAGGCAAAATGAAGCAAAGAAGAAGATATACTTTATTGTCAAAATGTAATTTTATATTTTCTTTGCTTAGAAATTTGTACAAGCCTTGATCACTCACACACATGCACACACATAGTGTTAGAACACACTAACACATGCTTAGTGTGTTGGTTAACAATAGAAATCCCCTATGTTAGCCATTAGAGTTTATAGATATTGAGTGAGTTTTAAAATATTTTATTTATACCCCATAAAAATTAGAATCTGGAAAAACTCAAAAGATAAAAGTTGTAGGTCTCTTCAAGAGCTTTCCAACGAATCTTAAATCACCTCATTCCGATATCGGATGAGAAAGTTACAGTCAAAATACTAAACAGAAAAATTCCAGAATCTGAGTTTACAGTGTAGTCGACTACTATGCCTTGTAGTCGACTACTGAGCAATTTTTAAACTCAGTGTAGTCGACTACTATAACTTGTAGTCGACTACAGATGCAGTTTTTTCAGATTTCAGGTTTTAAATAAGTGACTGTTTATAGCCGTTTTGTGGACGTTAATTGGGTTTAAAATTATGTCATTTCAGAGGCTATATATAGGTTTAAACATCAGAAAATAAGCACTAAGTTTTGCACTTGCAAGATCAAACATTTTGTGCATATTCACTCTCTAATTTTCCAGATTTTCATGCTAAGTGTTTAGAAAAAGAGAGTTTCTGATATTGCCTTGGTTTCAATCATTCTTAGAGATTGTATATGCAATATTTAGAGAGTTAAAAGAATCCTAAGCCACTGCAGCACTTCACTACACATTCAAGGCTTATAGGATCAATTGTGTTCTTGCTTCAAAAAAGATTTCTCTCGGGTTTGAGAGGGTTGATCTCTTGGTTTGGAGATTGGGTGGCAATTGGCATGGTCTTGTCAATTGGTGTTGCAATTTGCATGGTCTTGCAAATTGGTCAGGTTTACTTTTGATTTTGTAAGTTTTCAAAATCATAGTGGAAATCTCAAGCGGGATTTGCTTGGGGACTGGATGTACACCGGAGAGGTGGAACCAGTATACATGCTTGTGTTTGTGATGTTTATTTTCTGAGATTGCCATTCTTTCTTTGCAATTTATAATATACTTTGCAAACTCACCCTCTAGTGTTTAAGTGTAAAGCTTCCGCAGATTTTTATAAGAGCGCACTCTATTCTTAAGGGTCACGATCCTACACTTGGTATACATAAGCAAAATCAGGACCCTACATCAGTCAACTGAAGAAATCGTTTGGAATCATCAAATGTTTTTGTTTTTGTGATTGATGATCTATCAGTCGACTGATAAGTATATCGGTCGACTGATGAGAGCTTCAGTTGACTGATGAGCTGAGATT